ATCCATAAGTGCTTTTAAATGAAAATAGGCTATTCGAAATTGCGAATATCCTCTTTTAACAAAGACCACCTTTTGAAAGTAGGTCAATGGCAGTTAGCCGCACCTATTCGCCATAGTTCGCTACACCAACGGTGGTTTTCCATACCGCTGAACTGCAAACTTGATTTATATCTTCTTTTTTCTCGACATTAACATATTTTTGCAAGCATTTCATTTATTCTTTCATAATTCTTTAGTGCCATAAACTGTTAAGGTGCTTCTTCTTGAGTACTCCCCTTGTAAGGGTTCGCACAATGGATTAAAACATGCTTTCAGAAATAGATGTAGTATGTATATTCATAAGTTAATCCTATGATTTTCAAATTCTTCTGTGATTCGTAAATATTTTTTAAAATAATGCTTTACGCTCTAAAGCAAATTGGTATGAAATAATACAAGTAACAGAGACTTTCTTAAGTTGTAGTATAGACTGTGTATTTTCATATCTCAAACTTGCCGCAAAATTAACTCCAAACTAAGCCTTTTGCTTGCTTACTCTATCAGCAATGAATGTTGCTAGAAGAACTCATATACCTTATAGTTGTTGGGATTTACCCAATGGGTAATGGAAATCACCCATCGATGTCGCCATTTAGCGGCACTTTCAGACTTCACAGATTTATTGTAAAGGAGCTCTTCAGATTATTTAATGATGCTACCGGTAGCAGTATAAAGAATTGAGTTTTGTCAAAAGTGGGAGATACAAGTATACTTTCTGAAATTCCAGACATCTTTGATCTGATATTCATATCCGGTTTTTATGCTCTATACATTATCGCATACCTATAAAATCATTGTCTCATATAGGACGCTGAAAAGGAGATACCCATATAATAGGAAATTTACAAAATATTTTCCTGGCATTAGTGACGATATCGGCGATTAATTCAGGTTTTAATATCCTAATTGGGTCATAGGTGAACTATAATGGTTCAAAGGTTGATTATAGCTATATACTTGTAGATAAGATATACAACCGTATCTTCTAAAATGGGGTGGGACCACTCAAAACTGTCTCTCATTGGCTTAGATAATAATTCCTGTCAAATTTTGTGAAAATGTCTAGTCAAATAAAAAATGTTTCCAAATAAAGTTTTTCCGACATACGAGCAGCCCTTTGGGGAAATAAGGATTTGTGAAAATTTTCAGGTTAATATCTCAAAAACTAAGACATTAATTTGCGTATATACAGACGAACAGACGGACATGGCTAAGTCGACTCAGGTCGTCGTGCTGATGATTTATATATATACATATACATATGTTACAAACTTCGCGGCAAGATTAATATGTATATCCTGTTTCGGGTATAATCCAAAGATACAAAATTAATCGCTCTGGTATTTTTAGCAGATGTGCGAGAGTTCTGCCTGAGTGAGATTAATTATTACTGTACTAAGATAAAAGAGTTCGGATTGGCTCTTGGCTACACCATGGAAGTGAGATAATATCAACAGTTTTATCCAACTCGGACAAAGATAAAAATTCTAACTATTGAAGTCCACATTGCAATCCCATCCCAACCTCATATTACACACATTCTAATATGTGGTCCAGTAGTGTGTACGATTAAAGCGTAACTTAGATGAGGTAACTTTTGAACATATGAAAACCTTTCACGACTCCTGAACTCATACGACTTAGCAAAACTTTTTTTTCGATTACGAGACTCATTTTTTTGCATAAAAAAGTAAGTGGAATTGAATGAATCTAACACGTTATTACCCGGAATAAGAGGGTACGAAGAGCATGTAGAGGCTGACCTATAACACCTATACCAAATATACTTGTGAGATGTGTATAATATTTTTCACAGGGTCTGCGAAAAGATATTCTGAGCAGAACATATAAAGGATTGGTCAAAAAGTGATGTGTTTCTGAGTAGATTTCTATTCGAAGTTGATTACTTTTTTTTAAACTGCACAAAACTGTTGCACTTTATGCTTGATATTGCCTTGGCATAGAAAAACATATTCAACAAAAGAAAGACATACGCACAAAAAGATCCATTTAAATTGCGCGAGTTAAGGAACTTATTCCTTATCAACAGCCACGCACTCAAATGCATCGAAACATCTATATTAGCCGTAAACAAATAATTTTATATCGAAACATATTTATCAGCAGTAGATAGGAACACATCGTAATAACATGCATTATCGCGAAATGCAGTAGACAAATATTGGAAAAATAGAAGTGCACTCTCAAACAATAACCAACCCAAATAGATATTTACACTCGTATAAAGTAAACAACTGGTGACGAAATAATCCACTGCGATAACCAACGCTTCTCAACAACATAAATAGCACTAAATTGATACATTTTTTTTTCCTAGTTGGTACAACCCTTCTTTATGTTCGTGTGAAGTTTGGAAACGAATTGAAAAATTGCAAACTCGTTGGTTAAAATTTTGTATTTCCAAAGGAATCACATCTACCAAATCTTTGAAAATGTTGCAGAAGTGTTCACTAATATAAGTATTTCAGTGGCATAAGGTATTCAGTGAAGATCGTGAAGTTTTCGAACACCTGTTTTATGCGAATCACATTTAAATCATTAATCACAGTTAAAGATGCAGTGCTTGAAAATCGTGGTGTTGGCACCAGTCAGATAGCAGGGAATCTCAAAATCACTTAGAGATCGAGAGTCAAGGATCCTACATTCATTAAACGCATCATTACTGGTGACAAAATGTGGTTCTATGCATATGACGTCGAAACTATCCAACAATCTAGCGAATGATGCTCCAGATATGAGTCAAAACCAAAATTCGATGAAAGCAACGAAGGGCATCCCAGCCGAGGCTCAAGTTTTTTTAGATATATAGATGGTATTGAAAGCAGAAATTTTAATTTTATGGTAATCTTTCACGCTTGATTATACAAATTCGGGTAATGAAAGCCTCAGCTTTCTATTAAGCGTACTGTTTAAACTCAAACTGCTGAGTTAAGAGGGGTTTAGTCCATATGTGGTATTGTTTCAAGCTGCAGATATTGCACTGGTTGTGCCAATATCCATGCAGTCTTACAAATCTACCGTTAATTAGAAAAAGAAGGCAAACATTCACAAACACATACAGCGCGTTCAAAAGATAACGTTTTTCCCTTGCTTGATAAATTCATCATGTTCATCCATGCATTGTATATATGACGATCTGGACAAGATCATGTCAAGGAAAACCAAAACACGATGAAACAAACTACCTGTGAGCAAAACTTCAAAAGTCATGTGTAAAAATGTAGATCGGAAATATGTATACAAAGTTCCTACTGGCACTCGATAAAAGGGACTGTAGTAATATAAATGGAATATTTACTGATTACAGACTGGGTGCGGCATACGCCTGACATATCGAGAAGAGTGCAGGAAATGTTAAGAGCAAGGTATCAGGGAAACAATGGAGTATTTTACTCTTGTGCCCTTGACTTACATTGGCAAGGCTACGCTTTAAGCATTTGAAGGAGCTACGGTATGTGACTCTGAAAGGGTATTGTTAGTGAGGCCACAGAGTCTGTTGAAATTTGCGTCAAGCGCAGGCATCCTAGAGGATGACTACTCCTCATGCACTTAGTAACTAATCAGGTATAGCAAAGGATCAAAACTGATCTATGCGTGGCTCATTAGCCTACTAGATTAATCTAACTAACCTAACTGAAGCTCAATTGCTATCACTGACGCTCAGATTTTTCGATATTTTTAATGTGTCACGTTGTGGTGTGAAATAAGAAAATTAGTGCTCAGTATAAGGTTTTGAAGCAGCCTTTCTAACGAGGTAACCCAAAGGTCCCAAATGGATCATTAGAAAAACTGTAAAGTATTTAAAAACGACTTGTACATTTGTGAAGAAGTAATTTGACCATTACGGAGAAACTGGCAACGTAGATGACCAGCCAGGAAGAGGGAGGAATCTCGTGATATCTGAAAGTGTGGACAAAGCTATTGTTCTCCTTTTCGAGAAGAAACCACTGCTCAGTCTATGAGAAGCGAAAAATAAATTTTTTGTTTGTTGAAAAAGGGATAGGCTATATCTCTAAATACAAAACGGGTCCGACAATTGAGATTTGGCATCAAACGCAGCCGTACCTCTACTTTCAAAAACACACATTGAAAAAAGTTTGGCGCAGGAGAACATCAACTGTGATTGTAATGTATGCTTCTCTGCTTATGAATTTAGGGTCTTGAGGTGCTTCACAGAAAACCTGAACGCCGTTAGAATAATAAAATTGTTTGAAAGGGTGATATAATACTGCAAGAAGCCAATGGTTCGAAACATAGGAGCGGGCTCTGTATTCAATGGAAACAAGAAAACCATATTATTACTTTAGCTTGGTCATCACCGTCACAAGACGCCAATCCAATAGAGAATGTTTGTGCTTTAATAAAAGCTAGAATAACAAAAAAACATTCAACAGCAACAAAATATTTCATGCGGCTACTGCAGCATACCTGGAGGTCACTTACTGTGGAATATGCAGAAAATTTAGTTGGATGTTGCCATTAAAGTTATCAGGCTATAATAGACAACGCGGGAGATAGGAGCAAGTATTGAATAAACGCAATAAACGCTAATTTTCGAAATTACTGTACATGGATATGTGTATGAATATTGAAATTTTTAATAGACATAAAAGTTTCACTAAACTGCGTTTCGTAGACACTTTAGCAAAAGTTTTATAATAATCGGGGGTGATAAACAATAAATATAGCCAACAGGGCGAACTAAAGACGCCACAGTGTGTACATTTTATGCTATTTATTTTTTCTTTGTAACACAAGAATTTTTCTACACAAGTACAATAACACATACCTATATATGTATATCAAGCAGCTAAGGCTGCAGAAACACGCTTGTTTTTGTTTTTTTTTTTGGTTTTTGCTATTGTTTCATATAAACTTTTATTAATTTTTTATTTTTATTTTTGTTTTATTTTTTTTTTTTTGTTATTCTGCCAACTTACGCTTCATCCTCGGGAGTGGCCTCAACGGCGCGCAACGTTTGCGGCGTAAACGGTGAAAAACCAATGCAATGGAGTAGTAGGAATGCGGTCACAATGACAGTAAAATGTGTCATCAACTTGTCGCATGTAAGCATCTTGGGCATTTTTCTAGCATTTTCCCTGCTATTGCGAGCGCTGCGGGGCGTCGCGAACGGCGCGGCTACACAAGTTCAAACGACACGACACTATTTATTTATATATTTAGTATATGCTACACTTATGTACGCCGTATATATGTATTTATATATATATATATATTTATTTTTTTTTGTATGTATGTATGTAAGTACACTTTTTTTTAGAGCGAAAACGAAGGAGTTTGATCGTAGCAAATATTTACTGGCTTCTTTAAGATTTTATTCAACACTAAGCTCATTAACTGCTTAACGCATACACACTCACACGCGCACTAAAACACGAACGACGCAGCGATGTTTTGGCTTATAGCGAACTGTACATATATGCGCACATATGTAGGTATGCATATATATATATGTATGTGTAGTTATGGCCTCATTAGCCCTTTTAGCCAGACGCAATGTGTTTGCTTATGCTTTCTTAAGTTCTCCTGATGCTGATTCTGATTCTGTTCTATGCTGCTCTTCTTCCTCTTCTTCGCCAGTGTCTGCTTGATTTTCCTATTTTGTATATGATTTCGTTGACCACGAAACTGGGTGGAGTCCCGAAAAATGAAGTGTTGACGAGACGAACGACGATGGATTACAGCAGCAGTAGCAACAACAAGCGTTGTGGCAGCAACAACAGCGAGAGCAGGAGCAGGAGCAGGGACAGACACAGCAGCTACATTTAAACTTTGACATACCCAGATTTTTCAACACAACGCACTTTGCCACATCTCGGTATGTGCATATATGTATGCAATAGATATTTGCTTTCTATATAGAAATCACTTTGCCACTTTTGCGACTTTGCGGCTTTTCGACGGCTATTGCACAATTATAAGAATTGTAAGCGCTTTAGAGATTTTCCAACAGCGAAATTCACAATGAAAATTTCGCCTCGATACGATACATATGAAAAACCGCACCGAAATTCACCGTTTCACTAAAAACGAAATTTTTCAGCTGTGCGTAAATTTTCTATATATAAAACACGGCGTATGGCTGTGTGCGCGCGCTGCTGTATTCGTACATGTATAAGGTAAATATCTGTGTGTATGTGTGTATGTCGTTCGTTTCGTGTGTAACGTACTGTATGTTGTTGCTGTTATTCTATGATAGCGGTTCGTCGTCGGCAATATTGCTGTTTTTGTTCGGTGTTTAATATTGTTATTATTATTTTTGTTGTTGTTGTTGTTGTTATTGTTGTTAGTGTCTATTAGTCGCGCACCGGGCCACAGTTGGTCGCGTATACCGTTTACCCGCACTCGCTTATGTTTACAAGATTTTCGCCGTTGCCGTACCGTCGCCACTGAGTAGCCAAGAAAAACTGAATATGAAAATTTGCCGAAAATTGAGGAAAAGTGTTGGAGCTGTGGAAAAGTGCCCACAGGCAACTAAGTGGAGCACTCGTATGTGCTGTTCGTTGTCGCTTCGGCTGAGATTTTCATGGCACGAGAGCGCTTGTTAGCCGTTCGCCACTTTTGTGGGCTATTTCATTTTCGTACATTTCCTTTTGAAGCGCTGTACGTGAGCGCCAATTTTGCGCTAAACTCTTTGTGGCGGCGGCGGCGTTAATTTCCGACCGCAATTGCTAATGTCAACGCCGCTCAACAGGATGCGCTGTGGTGTTTTTGTGGTCTCCACTTTGTGTTGGCATTTTCAAATGTCAAAGCGCGTTGAAAACAAAAACAATAAAGAGAAAAGCGCAAAAGCATAACAAGTAATAAAAGAAAACACTCTGCTTGATTTGTTTTTGCATGAAATTTATCTCAATGAGCGCGAGGTAGTTTGTTTGCTGCTCATTTGCCAGCTGTTCGTATTGATTTTTCCTTTTCATTTTGCTCGGGCCCATTTACCGCTTTCATTGCATGAAAGAAAATCTTGTTTTCGCTTTTCAATAATTTTTACATTGTTTTCCTAGCGGTTTCTTTTGTTGGAGGCGCGTGTTAGCTTCGTGTTCGCTTCATTTCACTTTCGTAACAGAGAAAGAGAGTGAGTGCATGCATGAGTAGATGTATGTATGTATGTATGCAAATGACTTCTGCTCCGACGTAATAGGAATTCCTTTGGTGTGTTATTCCCGACTGCTTGATTAAATGGCATAATTATCATCATCAGGGTTGGGTCAGCCAGCCAAACATATATGTATGTGTTCATTATTTTTATATATCCAAAAACTGCGTTCATCGAAAAGTTAGGGGCGCTCAAATTGATGCTCCCCGAAAAGTTCTTGTAGAGTTAGAAATTTTTAAATCTTCTGAGTATTTTAACATATTAAAAACATTGGATCAGGTAACAGTTTGTTTCTATCCCCCACTTGAGAGAGTCGGGTTTTCGCTCAATCAATTTATATAAATTATATTTTAAAATTTGTGGAGATAGTTGCATATATTGAACTAATAGTGCATACTTTTTTGGAGCTCTGTAAACTCACAAATATCTATTTAACCTACTATAGAAGGTTCTATTTATTTTCGCTTTAATAGCTCTGATGTTTCCTTAAGCATTTTCGAAATCGCCGCTCTAATCAATTTTTTGGATTTTTTCGGGAGAGATCACACTTATTGTGAAATTTGACAGTATTGTGTCAGAGTGGTTTCGTCATTGAGCACTTTTTAACTTAAGGCGCAAACAGTCACCTACGCAAAACCGTGTCCCGAATCAGCTGATAACTCCTATCTTCTGAGAGCGCAATGTAAATGATCAGTCACCACCTCTTCTACCGTCCGCTTTAACAGATCGTACGGTAGGATATCCGCGAAAATTGGATTTTTCTCGTAGAAACCAGTGAGCTGAGAGTGAGAGCGCAATCTCTTGCAACGCAAGGTTGCCAATCTCGATATTGTGTAGTAATTAAAAAATGAACTTGAATATATTTGAAATATTCTTAAAATAACTCAAAATCACAGTCGAATACCCTTATTAATAAATAGGCAAACTATTCTTAATAAGGAATAAGGAAAGTATTCTACATATAAATTGTGTTAGCACAGTCAATAAAGTGGAGCGTGTGATGCGCGGTCCCCTATCTAGGATTTTTGCTAAATCTAGTATTATAGATCGAAGCTCGCTACTAAAGCAAGAAGTTCCTTTAAAACCAAATTAATTTTAGGTGACTTGCTGGCAATTAAGTTATTGCTACGAATATCGCTCTAAGGCTTATTGAAGCAGGGTATATGAAGAGGCTCAAACGGGAACATGCTGAAATTCTCTCACCCTTCAACTGTATTTCTGAAAACTTGAACCACTGCGTCGCAGAGGCTACTTCGGGTGGATTTTTGTCCGTTCACATTCCGACCAGATATATGTGTCGCTGGAATAGAAATGGGATTGCACATGTGTTCAAGTTAGAAGTGTAGGTTAGAGGAGGAGTTTTCTGTACGGAGCTCTCCGCTAAGCTTAGCATTTGGCTGCCGGACCACTGTAGTGTTTTTCAAGCAGAAGTAGCTGCTATTAAGGTAACATAGCCTCTTTCAGGTAGGTAAGCATTTACATCGGACAGCAGAGCGGCAATAATAGCGATGAGTTTGCTAACTGTGTGCTCAAAGTTAGTCAAGAATAAACACTTCCACCTCACTAGATATAGCATAAAGATACTTCATTATCAAACTCGTGTGGGTGTCTGTTCATAGCGGAAATGCTGAAAACTGTAAAGCAGCCGATAAGATAACAAGAGAGGGTACTCATGCTATGCTCACATCGGAGTTGGATCTCAGGTGTCATATTGAGTTCTAGCACTGGACCATTTGCCCTTAGCAAGGTTGTGGCAAGATGAACCGTAGGATTTTTTAGTGAACATTGACCAATATGCATTCATGTGGTAACAAATTGTAAAATTGTATGGAAGAAGGTGAGGTGGCAACATTCAGGCACTTTCTCCTTTTTTGTACAGATTTTGAGAGACTAAGGTGGAAATATCTCGGCAGCCATACCTTCGGAAAACCCGGAGACATAGTCGAAACTGACATTAGTCGACTCAGCAAATTTGTGATAGGCTCTAAACGGTTTGTCAGTATACAAGTTAAATTATATAAGAGTTTTATGTGCCAAAACGGACCGCATTCTTAGTCAAGCTTTATAAGTAAGATCCCTGTTAGGATGATGATTTTAACACAACCTTAGTGAAACGTGTGAGAATAATTTATAAGTTTGATTAAAAATCCGTTGAAGGAGAGAAGACCTGATTTTACACACTTTAGTTGGAAATCCCTTCTTCGCTTCGAACTGCATTGATGATGTCACAGTTGTTGTAGCCATACGCAGTTTATCAACGAATATGTAGGCCTGTTTGTGGAACTCCACAGGTGTGTTTTAAGAGTTTATTTTTAGTGTCCTAAAAAAGGAACTACTTGTTTTAGTTTTTTCGGTTGCTAATATTGTATAATGTTACTTACATATGGTGCAAAAAGTCATTTTAATCCTGAAATTTATGAAAACTACAGCATGCAATTTAAAATTAATGTGAAAACCCACAAGCAGTTGTTTCCTAACTTTTCAATGAAATATTTGCTGCATTTTAATAAAGCCAATTACTACCTAAATATTACTTAACATGTATTTGTGTATGTAAATATATGTCGACACACACACAAACACATTTTTTATGAGTTCGTAAGCTATTCTCTGTTAAAAGTGCATTAGCAACTCGTCTGCGCTCAGTTCCCCTCATACATCACGCCCACAAGATAAAAACACCGACACGCTTTTGTCATAAGTAACTGTAGTGTCGCGCCACAGCAACAACGGTGATGACGACAACGACGTCAACATCAACACCAACAACAGGACTTAGAACAGTTGACAGCTGTTGCCACACTAAGTGTGAGTCAACTTGTATGAATCTAAACTAAAGGACTACAAAGTCTTGCATAAAGTTTTTACACACACACACACACACACATGAGCATAAAATTAAGTGTGCACTTGCATACACTAACACGAATGCTTTGCAACATACCGCTATAGTGTCTTGCATGCCCACACACATACATACAACAACTTACAACAAAAAGTGTTTCGGCGCTCACTACCAACCGCAATAGCCAACAATCACGAAGGACATTTGCATGTTACCCCTTAACTAAGTGTCCTGCTTATTGTTTTCCAGTTTATTTTACTGCATATTCTTACACATACACACTTTTAACGATTTATATGGTGTTGTAAGTATATATAATAAGTACATATGTATGTCGTTTGCTGTTCGTGTTGCATGCGTTGCATTATTTCACTACCCCAGCCCTTTAAAGGGCAAATAATTGCACGAGCTGGCGCATTGACTATCAGGAACATGTTTAAAAGCACACACACACACACAAATGAATAACCAAAAACAACTAAATAGCAAGAAATAACGTTATGTTATCTTCGGCTACATCGAAGCTTTAATACCCTTCACAAGTTGCATAAAAGGGTATAAAATGATATTTATCTTGATTTTGAACGTTCAGTTTATATGGCAGCTATTTGTTATAGTTGTCCAATCTGAATCAATTTTTTTGGATATTATAAAACTGCCTTGAACAATAATCCTTGTTAAATTTCGTAAAAATTGTCAAATATAAAAGCTTTTCATACAAGAACTTTATTTTGATTGATCAGTTTGTTTGGTAGCTATATATTTATAGCATAGTGGTTCGATATCAACGATTCTGACAAATAAGCAGCTTCTTGGGGAGAAAGGGATGGGCAGAATTTCAGATTGATATCCCAAAAGCTGAGGGACTAGTTCGCGTATATACAGACAGACATACGAGCATAGCTAAATCGACTCAGTTTGTCACGCTGATTATTTATAAATATATTTTATAGGGTCTCTGATGTTTTCTTGTCTGAGTATTAGAAACTTCGTGTCACACTTAATATACGCTGTTCAGGGTATAACAAGCTGTACAAGTTAATATGTATGTTTGTATAGGTATGTGTGCGACCCTGCAGCAAAATAATATAGTGCACATGTTTCTCCGTTAGTTACCTTTATCTACGTTTGCCTATGTGTGTGTGTGTGACTGTGCATAAAGTGAACTTTGCTTACATATATGTGTGCTCCTTGCCCTTATATACATATATTTATAAGCGTATATGTCTCATGTGTGCCGTGTGGCATGCAACCACAAGCAATAAAGTGTAATTAGTCTTAAATTTCAATATATGCCGGCAGACTGTTGTCACACGAGTGTATGCTTTAAGGTATATTTATGAACCGAAAATTTAAGTGTGAACAATGTAGCAGTTTAAATTGATGTTTGCCTGCTGGTAAATTCATTGTGGTTCATTGTGGGATATGTTGTAAAGTAAACGGTTTTCTTACAAAGTAATGTTTAGAAATTTGGGTGTTATTCACAATATTCGCTTAATTTTCTCTAATCGAGGATCGGTTATTA